CGGGCAACTTCCTCTTTCAACCTGCTGAAATCCAAGTTCACTCAGCAAGCCCTTTAGCCACAGACCTTCCTTGACCGCTTCTGTTAAAGCCATGTATTCAGCTTCGGTAGTCGACAATGCCACCACATTCTGCAGACCTGACTTCCAACTTACTGTATTTCCTCCAACCATGAAAGTGTAACCTGTGACAGAACGACGTTTGTCCAAATCGGCTGCGTAATCTGAATCACAAAAACCTCTTACTGTCATCTGTTCTCTTCTCCGAAACTTCAGACCTTTATATCTTGTACCTTTCAAATATCGCAACACCCATTTTACTGCTCTCCAATGCTCTTTTTCTGGTTTTCCCATAAACCTACTAATGACCCCAACAGGAAACGCAAGATCTGGCCTAGTCCCAATCATGGCATACATAACACTTCCTACTGCATTAGGATATGGGATTGATTCAGCAAATGTGGAATCAAACTCTTCTGGTCTACTCGATGTACACAACTTAAAATGTGCCCCTAATGGGGTCTTGACTTCACTGGCATCTTCCATATTGAATGTATTTAGTACCTTTCCTATGTACTCTGATTGTGACAGAGTTAAGACTCCTTCATCTCGATTTCTGGCAATCGAGATTCCCAGCATTTTCTGTGCTCGACCCAAATCCTTCATATCAAATTCAGCTCCTAATGCCTGCTTTAATGTCTGTAGTTCAGACCTCTTCTTGGTGGCTATCAATATATCATCAACGTATAACATCAAGTAAGTTCTGTTTCCTTCAGCACTGCTTCTGAAATATACACAGGGATCATGTTCACTCTTGACAAAACCTAGCCCTTGGATGAACTCGTCAAATCTGATATTCCATCGTCTTGGCGACTGTTTCAGCCCATATAAAGATCTTTTCAACAAGCACACTTTATCTTTTGCTCCCTTTTCCTCAAAACCCTCTGGTTGTTCCATATAAATCTGTTCTTCTAATGTTCCGTGTAAGAATGCTGTCTTTACGTCCATTTGATCTAATTCAAGATCCTCATGAACAACTATTGAGAGAAGAACTCGGATTGAAACATGCTTTACTACTGGTGAGAATATCTCTGTATAGTCCACCCCTTCTGTTTGTGAGAACCCTTTTGCTACTAGACGCGCTTTGTACCTCGGTGGTTCCACTCCTGGTATGCCAGACTTCAGTTTGAAAACCCATTTACACCCGATCACCTTTTTATTTACAGGTCGAGTTGCCAGAATCCAGGTCTGATTTTTATGCAGTGATTCCATTTCTTCTTTCATGGCCTTTTCCCATGATGTCCAGTCATTATGTCTTCTGGCTTCTTGATAATTCTGAGGTTCCAAAATTTCAACAGCATTAGCGGTCATTAGTGCAAATGCAGCCATGTCTTTGTCTCTGAACCTTGCTGGAGGTTGAATATTTCTTCTTGCTCTATCTCTGGCAAGAACATAGTCCACAAGCTTATCAAATCTCTCTTTCGAAACTGATCCATCTATTACCCCATCTGCATCTGAGTTTATGACTCCGTCTGAACTGTCTGGTTGATCCCTCCAAGTGATAGACTGTTTCTGATGTTGTGTTTCTGTTTCTCCACTTTGCTTTTCAGTGGTGGACTTCGCAGGTTCTTGAATTAGTGGCATTCCTTCTTTATTTCTGGAATCTGTCTCTGAGTAAGTCTTACTATTTCCATTCTCATATTCTTTTTTCAGTGTCTTGTAGACAGTGTCCTCATCGAACCTTACATTTCGACTTACCACAATTTTCTCTTCCTCAGGTAACCATACTTTATATCCCTTAGTGCCAGCTGGGTAACCTATAAAAAAACCTTTCTTTGCTCGTGGCATGAGCTTTCCTTGATCACCATGCACATATGCTACCGCTCCAAATCTTCTCAGGTGATAATAGCCGGTTTCCTTTTTGCTCCACAATTCATTTGGTACTTGAAGATCGATGGCTGTAGATGGAGAGCGGTTTATAATATGAACACTGGCATAGGCCGCTTCTGCCCAAAACCTTTGTGGTAAACCTGATTCTGCAAGCATGCATCTCACTTTTTCCATAATGGTGCGATTCATCCTTTCTGCAACCCCGTTTTGTTGTGGGGTATAAGCACATGTTCTATGTCTCAAAATACCCTCTGATCTGCAGTAATCATCAAATTTCTTGTTACAGAACTCCAATCCATTATCTGTGCGCAGTACCTTGAGCTTCTTCCCCGTTTGTCTTTCCACTAAGGTTTTCCATTCTGTAAATTTTTCGAACACTTCATCTTTCCTCTTCAGAAAATATATCCAAACCTTCCTTGTATAGTCATCCACAAAGCTTATGAAATACTGATTTCCTGATAATGATGGTTCTGTTGAAGGCGAGCCCCATAAGTCGGAGTGTATGTACTCAAGAATTCTTTTTGTAGTGTGCTTTCCTGTCTTGAACACAATTCTGCTTGATTTTCCGAAAATGCAATTTTCACAGAATTCCATCTGTGTAATCTCTGATGGGTTGATAGCTCCTTTCTTGGCCAAGATTTCAAGTCCTTTCATGGACATATGTCCAAGCCTACTGTGCCATAACCTTGTTTGATCCTGATCTGAGTGTGCCTTCAGAACCTTTCCTGTTACCGTTTTTCCTTCCAAGATATACAGCCCATTCTTTAGTTGCGCCTTCAGGATAGTTCTACACCCTCTGATTATCTTCATTGTTCCCTCTTGTGATTTATACCAGCACCCAAGTGACTCTAAGGATCCTAAAGATATTAGATTTGCTTGGAGTTCAGGAACATATCTCACCTGTGAGAGAGTGACTTCAGTTCCATCATGGGTCTGGAGTAAAATATTCCCAATACCCATTATGTTGCACTTCGAATCATTACCCATCTTAACTCTTCCATGAAATCCTTCATCTAGCTCAGTAAACCATTCTTTTCTCGGGCAGAGGTGGTATGTACATCCTGAGTCGAGTACCCATTCATTCTTTGAATCTCTTTCAGTTGTGGCTAAGGCTTCAGCTGTGTTTATTACCAGAACTTCAGATTGGTAATTATTTCCAGTTGATGTTTCTGCTTCACCTTTATCAGCATTTGACTGATTCATAGATTTCTTTCGGGCATAGCAATCCTTTCTAAGGTGCCCTTTTTTCCCGCAATGCCAACATTCCATATCTCTGCCTCTAGATCGTGAGCGAGAATGATGTTTCTTAAAACCTGATCTATCTCGGTGTGATGTTCTGCCTCTGACATTGAGACCTTCTGATATAGATTTCCCAAGTTTTCCCTGTGACTGAAGTTCCATTTCCTTGGATCTAGCAGCGGCTTTCACTTCTTCTGGAGTAATGGAGGATCTTGAATACTTGAGAACTTCCCTTAACTGCTCATATGGGGAAGGTAACGAATTCAGGAGATATACTGCTTGGTATTCTTCCTCTATTTTTACTTGCAAGCTTTGCAGATCTGACAAAATCTTTTGGAACACATCTAGGTTCTCCTCGATAGTCTTATTCTGATCCATCTTGAACCCAGAAATCCTTTGCATTAAGTACATTCTGTTCGGCAATGACTGCTCCAAGAACATTTTCTCAAGCAATTTCCAAATACCGAAAGCTGTCTTTTCTTGAATCACTTTGCGGAGGATCTGATCGGATAAACACAATACGATCAGATTTCTGGCCCTCCTGCTTCGTTCCGATCTTTCTTGATCTCGTCTGGAGCTTACCTGCAAAACATCACTAGAACCAAAAGTTTTAGTAGTCAGAGATGAATCCATACCTGAGGTTGTTTCTAGTGCTATAGCACTGACATCCGTTGTTTGCTTCTGTATCGGAGTCTGCAACCCATGTTCGATCTTTGAATCTTGATCCAACTTCCAGGTGCTAGGATCATCTTCTAATGTTTCCAGCAGTCCCATAATTTCCAATCCTATCTGAATCTTTTCTTTCCACAAGACAAAATCGTTCTTCCCATCGAATTTTTCCACGTCCAGCTTCTGAACTGGCATCGCCATTATCCTTCTCAGTTGCGGTCTTCTAATTCTGATTTTTCCCGATGCGACCGGGCTCTGATACCACTTGTACTATCTACCACCGTGTTTTTCACCGATGAACCAAGAACCGAATCAGCACCGCTCCCTCAACTCTTCTTCCAATCTTGAATCTCTGTTCGAATGATTGAATACAAGACGAAGAACAAGAAAACAGGGAAAAGAACGAACACACAAGAGTTTTACGAGTTCAGTATGAACAATGTGTTCATACCTACGTCTCGGGAGAGATGGAAGATTTTCACTATGATTTTTGGGAGCTTACAGATTACAGGAAATTAGGGATTTTCAACTACAGTATATGAGTACTGATTCATGACCTTTTATACACAGAGAAGCTTTCTTCGTTCTTGCTACTAAAGATCAACTGATGCCAAAATACTTATTTGCCCTTCTCGTCATTATCTGATTAGGCATCTCAAACCCTCCAGTGCACTTAGCGGGTTTCAAAACTCTGTTCTTATTCAGATGAGTTTTCAGGCATCATCACAGAACTATATGTCTAATGATTTTTTTTTTTAAAAAAAATTGGTATCTTGAATCAAGGCTAAGATTAATTCCGAAATCATAAACCAACAATGTGATTTGGAATATACGTTCTCTCCCCAAATTTAAGGTTCGAATTCGGGGCATAATAGACAGCTTTGTGTTCGTTTAACCGGTTGAATTACCAAGTTTGGGCATATGTCTAATGGTTGAGTGAGACAATGGAGTTTAGGTCTTTTTTCTCAAATGCAAGCTATTTACTGTAATATGTAATGTTACTATATGTTGGTTGTCGGAAAATAACACACACAGCATACACGCGCACGCGCACGCGCACACACATATATGTATATATATGTGCATATGAAATCTGTTTAAAGTCATATTGTAATATATGATATGTCCTTGTTTCGGTTTGGGGTGGCATATAATTTAAATTGAATACCAACCGAATGGAAACAGAAAAACATAATTCGTAAAACAAGTTTTGCATATAGACTCCATGTAGTCACATCTTTTTGGTACTGTATCATACCCTCACAACGTACGTTCATGCATATACATACACACACATATATATATATACACACACACGTGTGGCAGTTTATTTATTTTGATTTATTTTCTTCTGTCCTTTTGCAGATATATCAAGAAATTATCCAGATGGTCGGATACGGAGATAAGACGAACACGATCTGATCATTCCTCGGAAAAAACCTACATTTTCGGACACAATTAATGTCAAGCCATGCCCGGTATGAATTCAATTATGATGTTTAAGCTCTCCGATGTGTATGCTAGTAACCAAAGATATATGTAATACAATCTTGTAGTCCCACACATATATATACGTACATGTTATTTAAACTAAATGAAATTCACTCGTTTTAACCCAAACTTGGATAATTCAACCGGCGAAACGGATGCAAAACACATGTAATACTCTGAATTCGAATCTCAAAATTTATAATCTAAATCATATAATTAGATCCGACCCCGAGATTATTATGAATCTTGGTCCAGAATACCGTTTATCTGAAAAAAAGTTCACTCATTCGAAAAGAAGCAGTCTTGAGAGAATAGATAACTTGCGATCCAAGCAAGCTCGAAAAATATTCGGTTTAAGGTTTGTTAAGGTATATGCAATGATAAATAATAGTTTTAATATTTTTTAATCTCTTCAAGATAAATGAGAAGTGTGTGATGAATCGAGTGATTTTAAAAAGTATATACGTTCTTTGTACTGTATTGCGACTTTGGCAACTATTGGTAGATGATCGGACGGATGGGATTGTAATTTGTATCTGCTTGATCGGTAAATCAATTGGGCCTGTATAGCCCAATGGGCCTTGATTTGACGCCGTATGGGCCTTCCACGCCCATCTCAATTTGCATCATTTCATCCTCTTGAAATTTAAATAGTGAAATATTTTGCAATGACCAAACACCTACCAAGCCACAATCTCCACCATCCTGATGATGGAATGTACAATCAGTGTTTAAATGTTATAATCAAACGAGGATGATATTCCATCCAATGCTTTAATGACACTCACCAAATGCTGAAAACGAGAGGGTATAATTGTAACTCAGATTTATTATTTATCCAATAATATATTTATATTTATATATATTCCCCGTTCAAGTTTGTAACATACTCATTTAGATTTTTTTTGTTTGTATTTTAGATTTAATACACAGATATATAAAATCTGATAAAAGGAAAAACCAACGCTACATGTATGAATGAAATAACATTTGAGATTATATGAATTTATCTGGTTGATACGGGATAATCTACAAGCAATATATATATCTAATTAGATTTTTTAATAAAAAAAATTTAAAGCTACATTTTTAATAACTATCTCCATGAAATTCTTTTACATATTTTCATAATTCTTGCGTGAATTATTAGAAGAAAAAAAAATAACTGTTGGGCAAAAGAAAATAGAAGCAGCAAAAAAAAAATCAGATGGTGGGAGGCATGTCCAAACGAAAGAGTTATCCAATGGGGACGCGATCTCTGTACACCTCACTCACGTGCCGTCAGATCAAAACATTCGTGTAGATCCAACGGTCCATATTGATTTCCTAGGAGATAACTATACCGAAGACTAAGCGGCAGGCACGTATGAGCGACTTTGTGGGCTCCAGTCAAAATGTTACTTAAAAAAAGATGCTCGTAGAAAAATAAAAAATAAAAAAAAATAAAAAAAAAGCACGTCCGTAATCATTTTGATTAAATAATAAATAAATTATGCGTGAAAATATGTTTGGATTTCTAAATATAATGTTTTTTGGTCTAATTTATTCATAAATGTGGTTATTGATTTTAATAAATAATTTATTAATACGGAAAATGTGAAACCCAAAACAGGTGAATAGGGCCATAGGGCTTGAACTGTGGGGAAATTCAGAAAAACAAAAACAGAGACGGTTTATGGGGAAAAATGGTAAAACAATAAAAAAAAATAGGAAACAAAATCAGAGAGAGAGAGAGAGAGAAAGAGAAGGGAGGGAGGGAGAGAGAGAGAGACCCACCACCCTTTGGCCCTGGAGAGACCAAAGATGGTCGAAGAGAGAAAACTCTGAGATCATCATCATCATCATCATCTGCGAAAACGAAACCAGGGCAGTTTAAAGGAGAAATCAATATCGATTTTATTGTTTATTTTTTCTAATTCTTTGTAAAAAAGAAGGATCTTCATCATATTCTTCTCTTTTTTTTTGCTGCCTTTTGATTTCTCAAACACCCACCAACATTCCCTTCGTCCCACTATTGTCTATTGTTTCATCGTTTTCTCCAGAATCTCCATTGGCATGATAAGGAATTTCTTCTTTCTGGTATGTTTTCTTTTGGTGATTATTTGTTTGATCTGTTCACGTATTTCGTAATCCTTTCCATTTGAGGGTGATAAAAAGGATGAATTTTTTTATGTCTTTTTTGGGTACCCATTTTGATTTATGTGGGTTCCATGCATTCTCCACATTGCTTCTTCAAGAGGGTATTCCCTCTTTTTTAAATATTGTTTCATAAAGTCTTGGCCTTTTCCCCTTTTTCTGGGCATTTTTCAGGTTTTGAGGGATAACCAGAAGAAGAGAACCACGGGCTGTTGATCCCAAGAATGAACATTTCGATCAAAAGGGTTTTGTGAAATTAATTTGCAAAACTCGAAAAATGAGGGACCCTGAAACGATCGCCAACACCGCTTGCCAAGGATCTGCAGTTGTCTGTATTATGATCTCGTGTCTATAGACTTGTATAGGCACATACACACACACACACATATACGGATATAGAAGAGAAAAGTTTGTTGTTTGGTTCATAATTTTTTGTTGTAGAAAGGGGGGTTGGTTTTTTTCCCATTGCTATTAGGAAAACCTGGCTATTTCGTATAGCTTTGTGGTTTGTGTTGGGCCACATTGCCATTGTTGTTGTATTGCTGACCCAAAATGGGATGCAAATGGAGTCCGATCGGATTCCAGTTCTCTTGCTTCATGTTCTTGATCATTGCCCTTCAAACTCGCTCCTCCTTGTCAATTGACTCAGAAGGTATATATATAACTTTTGGATTATCTTTGTTTTTTTGTTCCTGAAATGTTTTTTGGTAGATTGGATTTATTTTTTATGGTATTTGCTGAATGTAGGATTCACATTGTTGAAATTCCGGGCAAGAGTCGACTCAGATCCTCATGGAACTCTTGCCAATTGGGATTCTGGTTTTGACAAGCTGTGCTCGTGGTCAGGTGTAACTTGTGTGGACGGTAAAGTGCAAATCTTGTAAGTTAACTATGAACTCAAGATCATTTTAGACAGGTTTTATGTCCTAAAGGAAACATCTTTTTTGATTGTTTGGATCCTGCTCTGTTCTTGTTTTCGCGGGCTTTTTTTTTTTTTTTTCACTTGATTGAGAATGAGCGATAGGTTTTCTGACGTTATATTTCATATGTTCTGTAGGAACCTTACGGGGTGTTCTTTGAAAGGAACATTAGCACCTGAGCTTAGTCGGCTTAGTGATCTAAGATCTCTGTAAGTATTTTTACGTCGGTTTTTTATTCTCCTTTCTAAATATACCATCTTTTACTGATCGATTAAAACAAGTTTTTAGTTATCTGGTTGATTGATACCGGCGACATTTTGATTATTTATTGGATTGTATATCCTTCGTATCGGTTTTTTATCTGTCTCTGAGATAAATTGCTTCTTGTCCTCAATTTACCTTTTACAGAATACTATCCAAGAACCATCTCTCTGGTTACATTCCAAAGGAGTTTGGGGCTTTCGCAAAGTTGGAAATCTTGGATTTACAAGATAATGAATTGAGTGGACAGATTCCGGCCGAGATAAGCAATGTGTTATCGCTGAAACACTTGTAAGTTGATACCCGGGCTTATACTTTGTCCCTTGATTATGATTTAGATTTTAACCGTTTTGTTGAATAATTTCGGGTTACCTCAATGTAATCCAGGTTGCTTTCTGGTAACAAATTTGAGGGTAAAAGAACGATAAAGCTCTCGGGACTTCACTCGCTGTCTGAAGTCCAGTTTAACAAGAGTGTAGAGCCTTCTCCTGCTGTTGTGTTTGGCTGTGCAAATAGAAAACTTGGGCATTGGTAAGATGAATTCATCTCAAAGATTGGTGTGTTAGATCTAAAATGGAGAATTTCGGTATCAGATTTACAAAAAAAGAATGTTTTATTATGCTACTTACGTTCTCGTTACGCCTCTCTGACAGTTTTTTGAGGAGCAGCTTCATACGACTAAACAAGGCGGAAGATTTCATATTTCATATTAAAACAGCTTCCAGACGTTATATCAATGCATTCCCTTTCAAAATGTATACAGTTCGCAATCCTTTTTCTCAATTTGTTTCTCCGTCTTCACCTTGTTTCTCGCATTGACAATGCTGTTTTTGTATATCATCTTCACGAGGTTCAGGTTCCATAGGGAATCTCCTGTTGATCACGGGCAGAATTTCGTCGCTAATCTCCCTAGTAAGCTAAGATGATTGTTCAGTATCGAAACAATAAAACCCGAGTTCTATTTACAACTTGAAGAGTAAGAAGAAACATTTCGTTTTTTGATTCGTGCAGGTGATTTGGAGGAAACTGATGTTTCCAAACGACGCCATTTACTCGAGGACACGAGTAATTTGGCTGCTGCTCCTGCTCCATCCGCCACCGGCCCTTCTCCCGGGATTGCTCCCGAGGTGTTCTCGCGCAGCAGCGGATCTTTCCCTGCAGTCCCGAACGCAAAGAAGAGAACACCTCCTTCGATCCCTCCCCCGTCTTCTCATGACGAGGACAGTAAAATGCCGAATGCAAAGCCTGATTCCTCCTCCAACCCATCACAGGACGAGAAGAAATCTAAAAATATATGGTTGTATGTGATTATAGTTCTTGCTGGTTTCGTAGCCTTGCTGATTATAATAGCGGTTATACTTTTCTGTCGGAAAAGAGCTCACAAGACTATCGGTCCATGGAAGACCGGTTTGAGTGGACAGTTGCAGAAAGCCTTCATTACCGGTATATATATCTGCTTTGCACATCAATAATTTCTTTTTGTTTTTACCGTCTTTTCGCTTAGTTTCTGTATCCGTGAAAATGGTTGAACGATGTCGTATGATACTCAGGGGTGCCAAAGCTTAACCGGTCTGAATTAGAGACAGCGTGTGAAGATTTCAGCAACATCATAGAGGCTTTCGATGGTTACACTGTCTACAAAGGGACATTGTCCAGTGGCGTTGAGATAGCCGTTGCTTCAACCGCGATTTCCGCCTCCAAAGAATGGACGCGAGCCATGGAAATGGCATTCCGCAGAAAGGTTACTTCTTTTCTGCCGGCTCCAAATTCTGAAAATTCAGATCTTTGCATATCGAATTCTCGTGATTCGAGGGTTTTTTTTGTTTGTGTAGATTGACACCCTATCACGGATCAACCACAAGAACTTTGTGAATCTCATTGGATTCTGCGAGGAGGATGAGCCGTTCAACAGGATGATGGTCTTTGAATATGCTCCCAATGGAAATCTCTACGAACATTTACACGGTAAGATTTCATGACATGAAACAGTGACAGCAATCTCTCGATTCCGTAAATACCTCACGACATTTTACGATATTCTCAGTTGAGGAGATGGAACATCTCGATTGGAATGCCCGGATGAGAATCACGATGGGAACGGCTTACTGTCTTCAGTACATGCACGAACTGAACCCACCTGTCGTTCAGTCTAACCTAAGTTCATCCTCTATCTACCTGACGGATGACTATGCAGCCAAGGTTTGTCTCGAAAACCTTCAAAAGTCGCTAACCGAATTCTCGGGTCGTGCCTTATAAGCCGGTAAAGGAACTTTCTTGACCGTTTTCTCAGGTTGCAGAGGTTCCATTCAACTCCGAAACAGGATTGAAGCCTGGAAAAGCAGTGAGTGGTGACTTGGACCAATCTCTATTGCCATTACCTCCTGAACCAGAGAACAATGTCTACAACTTTGGAGTGTTGATGCTCGAGATTATCTCTGGGAAAGTCTCCTATTCTGACGAAGGAGGATCGATCGAGCAATGGGTACGTAAATTTTGGTGAGAATCGTCGTATAAAGTTGTCTGAATACGTTTTGACGAACTGAAAATTGTCGTGGGCAGGCATCAAAGTATCTGGAAAGCGAAAACTTGGGAGACATGGTTGATCCGTCGCTGAAGAGCTTCAAAGAAGAGGAGCTGGAGATCGTCTGTTACGTGGTCCGGCAATGCCTGAGACCAGACCCGATGTCTCGGCCGACGATGAAGGAAGTGGCCGAGCAGCTGAAGCAAGTGATCAATATCTCTCCCGACCAAGCCACTCCAAGGCTGTCCCCTCTCTGGTGGGCCGAGCTCGAGATCTTGTCCTCCGAAGCAACTTGACCGCTCTCTCCCTCTCTCTCTCCATGAAACACGCCGCAAGAATCAGAGGGTTTTCTTCTTCTTGTTCTTGCTCTTGTTTTCAGTATTTTCTGGTTCTTGATTCGGTTTTCTCTCGTACGGTCTGGATCTGTGTCTTGTCTTCGTTGGTTTTCTCGGAGTGCGTGTTAGTCAAAGTCGGGTACAGTGCGAGAGAGTTCGGTGTATGTATTTGTATAATGTATACTTCACGCGTATATTTAATGTATTTTGTGATGAATATGTGTTGTAATTTGCACTATTAACAGTCGACTTTTTTTTGTTGTATTTGGCATATTTTTACTCTTATAAGATTGTAATTATCATTTTTGTTTGCGTTAGTTACTAATAATATTATTGTTTTAATTTTTTTTTTAATCAAGGGTAAGAGTTCATACATGTCTAGATAAGTCTAGTTCATGCATTCGCATTACGACAAAAAAAAAGAAAAAAAGAAAGAGAACTAAAAAGACTAAACGGTTGGTAGAGAAAGACCGTAGTACCCCTCTTTTTCCGAGGAAAAAAAAACGGTTGATCAAGAAAAGACTAAACTACCCCTGGTTTGTGTTACATATTACGCCCTTTGGGTTCCCCGGCGGCGGAGATGAACCTGAAACGCCGACATGGCGGCCAAGAACTGGACGGACTGCGGCGGAGGTAAAATGTCCAAAATGCCCTTGAAGGTGTTCAGCCTCACACAATCCGCCGCCTTTACCAGCTTCTGCAGCCCCCCGGCGAGGCCATCCGCCGCCGCCGTGTCTGACGTGGCACCACATCCTCGCCAGCTCCAGCATTTTCGGGTCCGCCATCGCCACCTGGAAACGCTCCACCTGCGTTGACAAAAGGGTGTATACACATAATGCATATTAGCGTGCGCGTGTGTGGTATCCATCCATGTTACGTTCCATGCTTTGGTATATAAAAAATTAATTAAATTCCTCGTGAGATCACTGTCACTTTCAAATCTTATTTAATTTAATGTAGATTTAAGAAAGATTGACAAATAAATATGGTGGAATATAATGTAAATAAAATAATTACAATAATAATAATTACTAGATGTGAAGCTTACACAAACAATTAATGGAAGGACAAAAAATCATTTTATCGTCTCATTCGCCGTCGCCGTTATTGATGTATTACGCCTCTGTCTCCGCCGACCACTCGTGTTCTACGTGTCACCCACCTACCGGTCAGTAGCTTTCAAAGTTTCCGTTATTGTTGTGTATATATAACATGTATATTCAATTCAATAATTATGTTGTTGTGATCGTTACTGTTATATATATATGGTGTAGTATTGGGTTACATATAACGAAAATTAATTCATATAAAATTAATATTAATATTAATTTATTTGATAACAAAACCGATTTATTTTTCTAGTTGTATGATATTATATATAAAGTGATATATGCATATTTACATGGCTTTTCCGATTTTTTGAAAAATATAGTCGGATCATAAATTTTCGGATTATAAACAAAACATCAGAAAAAAAATAGCCATTGCATATATATATAACGTGTACATACAAGATGAATCTTAAGTCGTTGTCAATAAACTTTGAACGCATTAGTGTGTGTAATTCAATGGGCACACGAGAACCCACGTGGACTCAAATTGACTGCTCCATAGGATTCGGACCACAAATTTATTTTTGGCCATTAAACCTCCCAATAGAAATCAGACCATAATAATATTATATGTGCCAAAAAAAAACACACATTTCATCATTAGTATTCTTAAAGAAATTATGGTGGAAGATCTTGTAGCAATAATGGTCTTCATTAAAAGAAATTAAATTTAAATTTGAATATGGACATTTTCAGGAAAAAAATATTTAATTTTTTATTTATTCCTTTGATTTTGAGTTAAATTGAATGTATAGATGATACAAATTAGATTGCATCTAGATTTTGTTTTGGCATATCCAAGATTCCTTCACCACTTGTCAAAAGCCATGTTGGCGTGTGACAATTGCAACCGCCCAAAATTTATGGGCGACCATTAAGATTTAAAACGTTTCCAATGTACATTATTATTCTATAAATTCACAAAATCCAAACTATTTATTCAATTTTTCGTTGGGTAAAAAATTATCAATAAAAATGAACCTCCCCTCCTCACGTTCCTCGATCTGCTATATTTAGGGAATCCATTATCTGCAATTTGAATTAATTTCCGATTTTAGTATGAATTCATTGATGGTTCGTTAATTAGTTTCTTCTGCATGAGGGAAAAAACAAAACCCACAAATCGTTCTTCCTTGTCTTTTTCTCTCTCTCTCTCTCTCGGTTTCTTGTCTGAATCAGAGCTGTGAAGATATGGAAAGGACAGAATCTGCAGCGATTCTGATCAAAATCTCGTGATAGTATCATTCCTATGTACAAGTTCATCTTCTGTTTCTAGGTTTCTTGCGACGCAAGAAAAGGGGGACGAAAGAAAATGGAGAAGAAGGGCGTGGTGTTGATGCAGAGGTACGAGCTGGGGAGACTCCTAGGTCAAGGCACCTTCGCCAAAGTCTACCACGCGCGAAACCTCCAGACCGGACAGAGCGTGGCCATCAAAGTGATCGACAAACAGAAAGTCATGAAAGTCGGTCTGATCGATCAGATCAAGAGGGAGATCTCCGTCATGCGTCTGGTCAGGCACCCCAACGTCGTTCTTCTCCACGAGGTCATGGCCAGCAGATCAAAGATCTACTTCGCCATGGAATACGTCAAAGGCGGCGAGCTTTTCAACAGGGTTTCCAAAGGGAAGCTGAAAGAAGACGTTGCCAGGAAATATTTCCAGCAGCTGGTCGGAGCCATTGATTATTGCCATAGCCGAGGAGTTTACCACCGAGATCTTAAGCCGGAGAATCTTCTTCTGGACGAGAACGGCGATCTCAAGATCTCGGATTTCGGGCTGAGTGCGTTGATAGAGTCGAGAAAACAAGACGGGCTGCTTCACACGACGTGCGGGACGCCGGCTTATGTCGCGCCTGAAGTGCTGTGCAAGAGAGGATACGACGGGACTAAAGCCGACGTCTGGTCCTGCGGGGTTGTTCTGTACGTTCTCCTGGCCGGTTTTCTTCCGTTCCATGAATCGAATCTCGTGGAAATGTATCGGAAGATATCGAGAGGCGAGTTCAGGTGCCCTAACTGGTTCCCGCCCGAGGTCAAGAAACTTCTCTCCAGGATTCTTGATCCAAGCCCAATCACCAGAATCACCCTCGAGAAGATTATGGACAATTCTTGGTTCAAGAAGGGTTTCAAGAAGATCGAAAGCCCGAGAACTCCGAGATGCCATCAGATCGAAACGTTCATCAGCGACGTCCATAAACCGGAAGACGATAACTTTTCAGACAGCAGTTACAGCCACAGTAACAGCAACGGTTCATCATCTGAGAAAGACCCTCCATCCGAAGGCAACGAGACAAGCCCTGTAATACAGCCGACATGTTACAACGCGTTCGACATAATCTCGTCGTTGTCCCCAGGGTTCGATCTATCGGGCCTGTTCGAGAAGGACAAGAGCCAGAAATCGAAGTCGAGGTTCACGACCACGAAGCCCGCGAAGGAGATAGTGTCCAAATTCCAGGAAATAGCGGCGAGCGAGCGATTCAGCCTGAAGAAGAGCAGTATGGGGGCGGTGAAAATGGAAGATAGCCGAGAAGGAAGAAAAGGGCAATTGGCGATAGACGTGGAGATATTCGAAGTGACGAAATCGTTCTACATGGTGGAGATGAAGAAGAGTGCAGGCGACACAATGGAGTATATGCAGTTCTATGATCAAGAACTCAAGCCTTCGTTGAAAGACATCGTCTGGAAATGGCAAGGGAGCAATGGAACAGAGATATCCTGAACTAATAATCATCGGAGAAAAAAAAACAAAAAAAAAAGCTGTCGTTCTGACCATTTTTCATTGCAGTTCTTCGTTTCGGTTACTGGCAAGTTGCAATAAAAGATCAAGAAGGATGAAGAAAAAGCTGGTCGATGCAAAAAGTTCGCATCTTTCTCTTAGATACGATTCGTGTTTTTTTTTTAATTTACGCTTCTTTCCAATCATCATCTGTCAGATCCATCTGAAAGGTGATTAGTGTCTTCATCATTCAACCTTTTTTTTTATTCTTCTCATCAGTTTAGTTGTTTATAATATCATCATCATCTATGAGCCAAATCCAGACAAGAACCTCGTGAAGTTAGTTATATGCTATCGCGTGTACTTCCAAGATTCGACATGTCAGGAACCAGTCAATCATGTTTCTTGTACATACTCATTTCAGGCAGACAGATTCCAGAACTAAACTCTACATCAATGTTATCAGTTACAGATGGTTCATAAAATTCATGGGTCAGGTTTGATTCTGTGCAAACCTTGACCGTGAGATCTTCAAAATCAAAGGGCTCATACTGAACTACAGATTCAACCCTCTATGTGATACATGCTTCATGCGAGGACCAAAACAGAGCAAGCACGGAGATTAATGCACGTTTGAGGATAGCGGATTCAGATTCTCAGCCACAAAGTGTCAAGAAATACCTTATGCTTTACATACCCGTATACAGATGCCACTCGTTCTTGAGGTGAAGCCCTGACTCTGTAACAAAACCATAGCAAAGACAAGAGTAGTTCCAAATCTACCAATCCTACACTCGGATTGCATTGGCAGCATAAAGTTGAGAACTTTGGATGGTTAGGACAATGAATCGACAAATCGCAGATTCAGAGTAGATTGGTCCGACCGAACAGACGAGAAGCCGGGTGGCACAAAAATGAAGTAACTTGTTATTCTTCTATTTCGCATTTTTACATCAAAGTATTGAGCAAGAAAACCGTTTACACACTCTCCCCCTCCCACCATAAAACAACAACTACTAAGATTAGCGGTATATTTAGTTTGCATTCCATTCTCTTCATCCCTAATTCTACCGACTCCCGCGCGAATATAAGATAATACAACGGTACATATTGTGACCTAAAGTCACCAACCTAAGCAGTTTCACCTCGGAACAATCAGAAATGTAAGAACATACCCTCGCAAGCTTTCATCTTTCTCTGAATTTTCCCTTCATGCTCTTCTCTTGATTAACTTTGCTTTTTTCTCCTCTCTATTCAGTGTCCGAAGGCAAGTAGACCGGTGGGATGCCAGAAGGTAAGTCTACAGGTGAAGCATCAGAAGGCAGGAACAATGGTGGAGAAGCTGCTGCTGTTGCAGATTCAGCCATTGTTGTAGCTTCCTCGTCTGCAGTCAAATTCTGCAATTTGGGTCTCAGTTCTTTGTTGCAGAACTCCTCATACTCCATTTTATCCCCTCCTTTCTTCTTGACCTCGACCATTACCAGGGATGGTGTCAATTCGAAAATCTCTGCGGCAATTGTCAATGGACCCTTGACGCCTTGTTTAGAACCTTCTAAACTCACTCTGCAATCTTTCTTCCTTACTGTAAAGCTCACAATTTTGGCAATCTCTTCCAATTTCGATATGATCTTCGAAACGGGCGCTCCAGATACGAACCTAGAACCCTCATCACCCTCATCAAACAAGCCTGACAGATCAAAACCGGGTGAGAACGATATAAGATCAAAGGCATTCAAACTTGCGGGTCTCGGCAGTGGCCCAGCTCTCCTTCTGGCCTCAAAAAACTCAGCGTCTGATTCAGAAACCGAAGAAGATCGATCCGGGGAGGACTCGAAGGAATCCACATCATCGTCTTCAACGTTGCAAAGCTTATCATCTTCCACATAGAACTTGATGTGCTTAAAACCCTTCTTGAACCAACTGTTCTCCATAATCTCCGGAATTGTGATTCGGCTCTCTGGATTTGTGTCCAAGAGTCGCGTCAGCAACCGGATAAGCTCCGGAGAAAACCATCTAGGGCACCTGAACTCGCCCTTGTAGATCTTCTTGTACATGGCCATGACGTTTCGGTCATGAAACGGCAGATGACCAGCCATTAACACGAACAGGATAACCCCACACGACCAAATATCAACCTTCGCAGCGTCGTAGCCTCTGCGGGCAAGAACCTCCGGTGCAACGTACGCCGGCGTACCGCAGAACGTGTGGAACAGACCGTCCTGACGGATCTGGTCGGAAACCGCGCTGAGACCGAAGTCGGAGACTTTGAGGTTGCCGTTCTCGTCGAGAAGCAGATTCTCCGGCTTCAGATCCCGGTGATAAACACCACGGGCATGGCAAAATCCCACGGCTGAGATCAGCTGCTGAAAATATTTCCGGGCAACTTCCTCTTTCAACCGCCCTTTCGCGACCTTGTTGAAAAGCTCGCCGCCTCGGACATACTCCATGACGAAGTAGATCTTGGCTTTTGTCGCCATGACTTCGAACAGCTGGACGATGTTCGGGTGTCGGACGCGGCGGAGGATAGAAATCTCGCGCTTGATGTGAGCGATTAATCCTCCTTTGAGGACTTTCTCCTTGTCGATCACTTTAATGGCGACGCTGTCGCCAGATTTCACGTTCCGAGCGAGATAAACCTTCGCGAAGGTTCCATGACCGAGAAGCTTACCCATTTCGTATTTTCCCAGGATAAGAGCTTGTGGGTTGCTCTTCTCTTTCATCATCGTCGTCGTCCTGCTCAGCAAATCCGCCATGAAAGTGGAATTCTGAGTCTTTCGGCTTCTGGGTATTGCTTCAGGTTTCGTCAGATGAGAAAGAGAGAGAGAAGGGTCGGGATGGCATCAATGGTCGACCGGGAGAGAAGGAGAGATCAAGAATTTTTACGCAATTCAGAATTCGGCTCGGTTGGGTTTTGAATTCACGAAATTCCTGTTGTTTGTTGCCTCTCTCGTCGTAAATCTCGAGAAGTTGCAGGAGAAGGCGGAGGCCTCTCTGTTCTGTTTTTAGGGATTCCCCACAAATAGCAGCAGTCCGCTTATATATATTCCGCGTATATATTTGGAATATGCCTTTTAACTCTATCAATAAATCCCACTTATTATTATTATTATTATTATTATTATTATTATTATTATTATTATTATTATTATTATGACACACATATAATTATGGAATGGGCTTGAATTCGGTTCTACTCAAATTAAACACTTTTAGAAATTAAAAATTATTTGCTCTCACAACTATTTATTGATTCTTTATATTCTATTTATGACTAAAATGTTTAATTTAATGCAATGCACTAATTAAAATTAAAATCAAGACCAAATAACAATTTTCAGTCGTATCCGATTCCACAGCACGACGGTTGTCATGCAAATTTAATTTTTTTTTAATAATCATAATATTATTTACGATACATCATTTTCAATTTCATCGTAATTTTTATTTACAAGTGGTAAGATACAATACATTTGTTTTCGTATTCTAATTACCAACGATTAATTAATTGTCACGTATCATAATCACTTTTCTACCCAATCGTCCACTTGGACCGGAAGTAAATCGTAGCCGTGAATTCGCGTTACAATCATCGCATCTCCACCACACACGTGGCGATTAATGACATCATCATCGGGGTATACGCGTGTCGTTTTGTGAGCGATTGCTTTGTTTAGAGATCTCGAGTTTTCTATCTAGTACGTGTTGGCCTACACAATTGGTCAGCGAAACAACAGCTGTGGATTGAATATCAGCCGTTGGATGCCAGATGACGTATGATCTGGATCCAACGTCGAGCAGAAAATTTTATTACTTTAATAGTTATATTAATTCATTTAGACTAATCAAATTCACTAATTGACTGTTATTAACCCGTAATCTATGATTTAATTCTGACATCTAGGTATTAAAGGCCAATAAATATATTTTTGTCTCCGTCGTCCCATCAAGAATATTTGTTAATGATGATGGAGTAAACTTGATTTGTTGTATCGTTGTTGAAATTAATTGTAATTAAAAAGTCAAAGCTGCACATTTGTTGGAAGACGGTGGGTGGTCACGTTTGGTCAACGCGATGGTCGGTCTAGATTGAATGGTGGTGAACCAAGTGGATTGCGTTATAGGGAGAAAACAGAAAAATATTTCTTTTTTAAATTTAAAATGAAATATGAAATATGTTAGGTGAATTACCCAACTAAAAAAATCAAAATGATAATAATAATACGAAAACTATAATAAAATAATCTACAGATAAAATAAGTGGAAACTTTTGTCTTTTCTAATTATTTAAATTCAAATTATATTTTCTATACAATATAGAATATGGTATTTTTAAGCCAGGCTGATATATAATATATAATATATTCTGGAAGAAAATTTATGAATGGGCCGATCGTTCGTGCTTAGAAAATTGAAAGTAACCCAAGCAAATGAGTTGGGCCCACAATGGGCTTCAATAAGCCCAACAGCAAGCCCACAGAATAAATGTTGGGTCTTTCAGTAGTCTTGAACATTATACTATTAAATGTTCCATAAAAGGACCCACCGAATGAACACGATATATCATGAACATGAACTCGCGGTTTTGTTTTAAATCAATGGATACTTTGGATATAGATTTACACGTATGCATGTATATACATATATATATATATATATGTATATTGGCAGTGTTTTGTAGTTATATTACCGAATATTATAAACATCATTTGCAAATGTAAAAAGAAACATTAACAAGAAACATGGGACGTGGTCGTGGAGTCAGTAAATAGAAAAAAATAAAATAAATAAATAAATAAAATGAAACAGCCTTTTTAGGTTGGGTTGCTCGAGGGGAATGTGAAAATGGGTTTTTATATATATTCTTGTCTTGTGGAATATTAGTTGGCGTTCTATATTGGAACCTTGTTGTTTTGTCTTGGAATTTAGTGGATTAGGTTTGATTATGTCTTTTTTCTATTTTTGAATATAATATCATTACGGTAATTGATATATTTTCGCAATCATCATGAGTTAATGTATATGTACGTACGATTAAATATATATTTTTATTATAATTAATTACGTATTTTCTTTTTTTTTTCCATGTTGCTCGTACCAAATTATATGAATTTTGAATGTTTGACCGGGAATATTAAATCCGAGTATTTCAATGGCGGACATTGATTTTGTTAGGCCATAGAACATTTGCAAACGTTTTCAAGATTTGGAATTTAATAACAAACATATAAAAGTTAAATATATTTTTCTTCATTTTTTTTCCGCCAGAGAATGTTTTTGGGTTTCGATAGAATAAACTAAAGACCTCCATCCATAGCGTGATTTTAATATTTTAGTCTTTTAATCAATTAATAATATACGCAGACAGAAAGAGAGCCGACCATGGTTTTGACAATTCATTCGAAAGACTTTACAAATTAACCAATGGTTTTCGTATATATTTTGCCACGTAAGCAAATGGTAATAATTTAAGTATATAACCCAGATTGTAATCTTAAAGATCCTGGTTTAGGCACTCCAATCTCAATCGTTGTTCCTAGAGGTGGACATTTCGGTTCGAGAATTTAGTTCCGACCCGTTCCATACATAAACCGAATAATGTTCGGTTCTAATCTGATATTTTTTTTATAGAATCGAATAAATCGTTCTCAAACTGAAAACATACAAATACTGAACCGAATCCGATAAATATTAAACCAAAATCCAAATCGTCTGTTATTATGGTTTGATACTTATCTGGTATTCATATAACAATGCATGTGAACCAAACCGATACTAAAACTGAACCGTTTAATATTTTATTCTAGTTTGGTATAATTTTTATAAAATCGAAAATGTTGCTTTCAAACCGAACCGCTTAAATGCCAAATCAAAAATAAATACCGAACCGAAATCCAACACTGCCATCCCATGTTGTTTCCTTTGAAAGTACTATATGTTTTTTTACTTTTAACATCAAACCAAACCCATCAACTAAAAACCGCTAAAATAAATGGCAGCATTTATTATTAGGTGAATTGAGGGAAAAAATATATATATATATGGCACATTCAATTATTTTTTACAGTCTTATAGTCTGTATATTTGAAAAATATTTTGAAAGTTGGCATCACAATCACATTCAATGTCATCTTGCATAAACATAAAAATAATAATTAATAGTAGTATATTTCAGATTTCAATCCAAATTATTTTTTATATTCAATTGTTTTATCTGTTTTAAAAATACACCCATCTACTTAGTTTTATTCGGAATTGAATTTAGTCTTTATTTGGATTTTGTTTTTAAAATTTAATTGATGTAATTTTAAAATTATGGGAACGTATATTTTAAGAGGGAATACACAAAGTATATGATTCAAAGTAATAAAAAGATGGGCTCCACATTTCTATTTATCAATGCCTGCATCAACCACCATCCTAAGTCAATAACACCAACCGTACCATTTTTTTTTATAAAAAAATTGGTTCGCTTGAGAAATATATTTTCATAACCATCAAAATATATTTGGAATGTACAAAGTGTTCGTCTTCAACGAATTTTCACATCATTTCATTAATGTGATCTATATATTCATTCTTCTTGATTATTACGGATGATGAAATTAGTAATATATATATATATATACATATATATATATATATAACCATTTTATTTTCCCGAGTACATTTGATTTTTTTTAAATATGATTTTTTTATAATTAAAAAATTTACCGTATTTTTGGTCTAAATACATATTCTAGATAATTGGATAAACTCAGGTGAATATTTTTTTACCAAGTAGAGACTGGAATCTATATTACAAAGCAAATATAGCTCATCATTTATCATTTAAAGATAATTTTAATCTTGATATAAAAAATGAACCGATAATATAAATAACATGGATTCTAATTATTTTTTAAAGAAAATAAAATCATATTCATATCTAAGTTTACAGGGAAGTGCAAAAAAAATAAATAATTAAAGGTTCCGAAATTTTATATATATATATATATATATAACAAAGCTTTTATAAACTTTAATTTATATCTTTCACTTTTACAAAGAAAAGAGAAAGTATATCGTAAAGATAATGATGATAAGTACATGATTGATGAGTATCCAATATTCGGAAAGTGATCAATGAATCACGACACTTTCTTCGAAATTAAACTACGGCTGTATCATAATTTACAATCATATTATCATCATAAATTTATTTATTTCTCCAGCTTCCATGCACACACCGTTATTTATAATAGTAATAACAGGATTTTAGTAATAACTATGGTTGGGTATAAATTAGACAAAAAAAAAACTCCATAAATATTATATTTATTTATTTATTTATTTTAGGGATTTACGTATCTCATGCAGGCATTTTATTAGCCGTGTGACATCCCTCTAGGTTTTGTTAATATTAGTATAAGTTATCATAACTCACCAGCTCCTTTCAAATAGTGGAACAAGTGAAGTGACTCTCTCTCTCTCTCTCTCGACATTTTCTTTAACTCAAATCTCTCTCTCTCTCTCTCTCTCTCTCTCTCTCTCTCTCTCTCTCTCTCCATGGAAGACCCAGAGGCCTGCACTTGATACCCCCCAAAAAAAAAACAGAACTTGAGAAAATGTATCTGAGGATCTTACTTATCTTGTCTCTGGTATCTGTTTCGCACTCGTATTCTTCCTCCTGTCCTAACGGTACGGACCTCCGTCATATCACCAGAGTCTTCCGTTACGTCTCCGGCTTCAACTCCTCCTGGTTCCGCAACTGCTCCGTCACCCAAATCCTCCTTCCGTCAAGAAACCTTAACGGCACCGTTTCATGGCACCCCTTCCGCAACCTCACCCATCTACGCACCATCGACCTCTCCAACAACTCCCTCAACGGCGCCGTTCCCACTTGGCTCTGGTCCCTTCCCGGTCTTGTCTCCGTCAATCTCTCCCGGAACCGGTTCGGCGGTACCGTGAGGGTTGACCCGGTTAACGGCTCGGTGTCTTCGCCGGTTAGGGAGCTAAACCTCTCGTTCAAC